AAAACACCAACCTCATGACGGTGCCCAGAGCTGGGAACTGTGCAGGTGCCTTTGCATCATGCATGGCACCTGCATGATTCACCTTTCAAGGGGGCTTTCCTTTCCTGGGAGCTATGTATAGCTCCAACCCTCACCTCCATCTCCCTGCAGCTTGGCAGAGGGGTTGCTCCTGGTGACACAGTGCTGCATCTCCTCTCCCAGATGTTTTGCGTGTGTGACCTTACACAACCCACTTGAGAAAATAGACTGAGACCTCAACAGGTTTTGTCATTGCCAGAGTTTCATTTCATCTCCTCACATATGTTTTCCAGGTACCTTATGACATGGGCCTTTTGTGCCTTGCTGCTCTACACAGTGGATGCCATTGAGCTGACTGACATGTTTGGGGAGATCCAGTCTCCCAACTTCCCAGATTCTTATCCCAGTGACTCAGAAGTGACATGGAACATATCTGTGCCTGATGGATTTAAAATCAAGCTGTACTTCATGCATTTTGACTTGGAGTCCTCCTACCTCTGTGAATATGACTATGTGAAGGTGAGCTGTGATATCACATCATATGGCGGGGTAGACAGCAGACCTGTTTGGCCAGCTGAGGGAGGGTAGTGCTGGAAAAACTGGGAACAAGCCAGTTTTTCCCGTTTATTGAACACAGGAGTTGTTAGTCCAGTGGACAACAGGGAGAGCACAGGTAAGCTGACAGCGTACGTTGAACTAACAGTGAGTGGGACACCAGATTCAGAACTTACACACAGAGGACGAGATTTATGAAAATATTTGGGCACCTAATTCTCATTGGACCCAGTGGGATCTACACACCTATGGCTGATGCATCTCCTGTGGCTAAATGCCCAGCCTGTGCCACTTTGACACCAGCCACATGCAAGTAGGATCCTTGAGTTGGGCACCCTCTGCCAGGCCATGGCTATGGGTGCACCTTGCAGCCAGCCTGCATCCCTGGCTGCAGCTTGCAGGCTCCTGAGGCAGCCTGTCCATCCCCCATGGATGCCAAAGGTAAAGATTAGACCTGAGCTTGAGGCTTCAAGTTGGTATCTGCAAGCAGAGCCTCCCACAAGCCACAGCATGCAAACCCAAAGGCTCCCTTGGGTTTAATGCAAACCCATTTCTGAGCTAAGATACAAATTTCAGGGCCACTACTGGCAAATACCTGCAGCAAAAACAAGCTGTGGAGGTTCCCAGGGACCTCTTAAGGCCAAACCACAAAAGATTTCAGTCTGCTTCACTGCTGGGCAGTAACCCATCAGAAACTGTGGTGGGCCACACACTGCAGTGCCACAGAGCATCCTTGCGTCTTGCACCACAGGTCTTTCCAAGCAAGGCCCTCCTTTGCATGCAGGACAATCCTGAGTTTGAACTTGATCAGGTCTGGTGCTTTCCAGCAGACCAGCATAGCAAGCAGGTGCTTTCTAGGTTTGCCTGGCTGAACATGCTTTACCCCATTGCCCAGCACAAGCTTCACCCTGCTCCTCCACACAGAGGCAGGTGGAGGTTGCAGCCAGATCTGGAACCACAGAACTCAGCCATGGTGCTAGTTGCCAGCTAATTGAAATTATTTTGTTCTTGCCCTAGTAAAACAAAACAAACATTTGTAATTTTTTTTTTCCCTCTAGGATCTGTTGTTTGCTGCTTTAATTTCCCCTTTGTGCTGGCACTCATTCTGCTACTAACAGCTCTCATTGAGGTTTGATTAGTTCTTTCTGCTTCTCCTGGATCTTCTCCAAGCACAAGGGCCAGGGACATATATAGAGATATATTGCTTTAAAAACCCAATAAGCAAAAGGAGCGATTTTCTTGGAAACTTTCCCCATTCCAAGCTTTACCCCTCCTCCCACCCTTCACCCCCTGCTCTTTTTTCCTTTTTCATAAGGCTCCCTGTTATTCAGCCATGGTGCCAACTTGGCACCATAGCTCTCCCTGCCGCTGGATTTCCATAAGAAGGTGGTATTTTTCACAGGGATTTAGATCTGAGCTGTGTAAAATTGCTTGGGGATATAGCTCAGCTTGCAGAGCCTCCACCACAGAATTACATTTGAAAAGTGCTGAAAATGGATGGATTATAGGAGACCTGTAGGCTACCCTGCTGGGTAGGGGTCCAATCTTGATGCTGCTAAATCACCAGCTTAGAAAACATTAAGGAGGACAGCAAATGACTCCATGGCTATTTTCCTCCCTGTGTCTGTGCGCCCAGCCTCTGTCTGCATCAGTGCAAGACATAAAAACAGTGTCATCCTGCTCTCTGACTGAAGCCAACAGTGTGTGGCTATAGAACATAAGTATAGAGCCAATACACATAGGGGCTTCTCTGTAATACTCTGTCAGTCCCAGTGAAGATGCTCAGAAAGCCACAGAACACATCTCTGTGTTCAGTGGTGCTCAGTGGATTCCCCTCCATGAACTTGTATCACTGCTTTCTGAACTCATGTGTGATTTTAATCTCTGCAGCATCCTCTAGGAGAGAGCTGCACAGGTTAAATATATGACTATATGCCTGTGTGTGTGTGTGAAGAAACACCTTCTTTTTTGTTCTGACCATGGGTCTGACTGGGCTGTTCATCAGGGTTTTCATCATCTTGTCTGCCATAAGAAGGAGGTCAAAATGGGGGCTGAATGGCCAAAATGCAAGGTGGGAATCCAGCTCAGGACATGCAGAAAGCTGCTGTGCCCTGGGCTTTGCTTTCCTTATCTCCTTGGCTGCCCACACACCCAAGCTCTCAAGCAGTGTAGAAAGTCATCCTAAGTGGCAAGCTCAAGGCGAAATGAGCTGTAAACCCGCACAGATCTCTGCCTTCGGGGTGGTCTTCAGAAGGGAACAGTTTCCAGACCTCTGAAACAATGGCTAATTAAAACAATAGCTGTTTATTTTTATATATATATATATATACACACACACATATGCGTGCCTGTGTGTATATATATAAAAAGATCATGGCTCCTAAAGAAATGCTCATAGGCCAGGAAGCTTGTTTGTGCAGACTGGGATGGCAGAGAGGGGTACTTCAGTAAGGAAGAGAGCCAGGAGGAAGAGGAGGAACAGCCACCCCCAAAATATCCACCTGAAGAAGCCCAATGAAGGTAGGAAACACCAGCCATAGGCTGCCTTGGGAAGCAGTTGGAGACAGCCTCTCCCCAGGTTGGGAATAGCCACGTGCCAGGTCCTGGGGGTGGGGAAGGAGCAGCCATCTGTGCTGGGCTTTTGGCTCCTGCCCTCCACCGTGCTCCTGAGCAGGCTCTGCCCGGGTCATTGCTGTCCCCAGGGAGCTGATTTGGGGGTTCCATTTTTGCAGGGTCCTCACCATGGTTTGCCCAGCTCCTTTCTGGTGTCATCCAACACTAGCACTTTTGTACGTAAGTCTCCAGCATGTCCAGCACTGGCCTGGGGCACACCAAAAGCCACAGCAGTGACTTGGAAATCAGGTTAAGTGACTTGACTAGTGCCACTGAGAGCGCTGTGGCAGAGGCAGGGAGATGGGAGATGGAGTCACTGTGTAGCACCAGAGATGAGAGACGAAATTCTGACTTCTGAGGGGCCTTCACGAGTAAATCTCCATGTTTATTAGGGAGATCTGAGCCTAGGGTCCTGACCAAGAGGTTGTGCACATTGCTCAGCCAAGCTCTGGAATGAAATCAACCCCTGAGGGCTTGGCAGCCAGCCTGGGACTAGCTCCGTGGTTGAAGTGAAGGTGGGGCCTGTAGTGAGAGGTTTTCCCCCCATCAGCCCATGGCAAGTCCTTGATGGCCTACAGTGAACATCTCTTCACCCTGATCCCTGTCACTGAGTCCTGAATCAGAGTGGCACATGCTTGAGACCTGGCAGGTTTCAGCACATGTTACAGCACTTCACCTTCACTCCTTCTAGCCCAGGGGCCGTTTGGGATGGGTGTCTCCAACTGTGCATGAGGGCAGAGAGGCAGAGGGGTCCATGACAATGTGGCTCCTACCTCCCTTGGGCACATTTCTACAGCTGCTATTCACACTGTATTCCCAGGGAGGATCTGTGCCATCCAGTGCTCACCCAGGCAGGATTCCTACTAACCTCATGTGTGGGGGCCAAGGAGCTGGCCAGGCATCTTAGGCAAAAACAGTGGCTGCAAATATATTTGCTCACAGGTGGCCAGAGGCCCAACTGAGACAGGAGGCAATTTTTGCCAGCCCCAGTGAGGGGCTGATGAGAGGAAAACAGAGGTCTGGGCCAAGCTGGGAAGGCAAGGCTGCAGGCAGAGCATCAGCTAGTGCCACCACCCCAGGAAGTGGTGCTCAGGGAGGAAAGGGGAATTATGAAACATCTGTGATGTGATGGAGCCGCATCCCCCTGAGGTTTGGCACAACGTTTAGGGTGCATAGCAGCTCAGCTTTGCATGCAGTATCCTGGGCTCACAGTGTGCCATCCCCGGCCACGGGTAACTCCCATGGGGCAGGGCTGCATGCTGTGCCAAGCCGAGCACTCAGCAGCACTGCGTGCTCAACATAGCACTGACAGGGGCCATGCAGGGCCAGGGAGGGGGATCGATGCTGCATTCACGGCAGTGCATGCCCAGCCTGGGGCTGTGAGAAGAGGGCACAGGACCCATTTATACATTCCTCTGCTCAAAGGAGGGGGAAAAGGCACAAATTGGGGTTTAGCATGAACTGGGGGAGGGTCAGGAGAAGAATATCTTCTGACCGGCCTCAGGCAGGGGGTAATCCATGCCCCAGGGGTATGGAGTCCCAAAAGGAGCATGTCAGATCCTGGGAGGCAGCTGTGAAGATCTAGCGCTTTGCTGCTCACCTTTCCCATCCTGTTGGCTCTGTGCGGAGTGTGTGGTGGCACCGGCTACCCCTGCACAGCTGTGGACCAGCAGCTCACTTGGCACCCCACCATCTTGCCTGGGCTCTCATTGCACTCCCAGCCTCTCCAGGGAGGAAAGAAACAGGGTTATGTGGGTGCAGCAGACCATGGGAGGAGATGGTCTCCAGACGCCGAGCCATGTCCACAGCAGGGGAAACCAGCCATCCTCCGCTTTCCCCCATGGCACGGCTGCCGTGTATGTTCCTCTGAAAATTCAGGTGCATGTTTGCACACAAAGGATCCTTAATGTGTATTGGGGAGATGATGCATGCATGTTTGGGAGAGGATCTCAACGAGACCTAGATGGAGGCTCCTGTCCCATCCCTGTCTCATTTCCAACAGTCAGCAGCAGCACCAGTCATTTTGCAAAAAATTCCTCATTCATCTGGGTGTTGCCTTCTTGTGTGCACTCTAACTGTGAGGCAGCTCGGCAGGGGCTGTTTCATGCCCTTCCCTGTCTCTGAGTGTATCCTCCCCATGTCATGTTCCCAGTGTCTTCAGCCCAGCGCTGTGATTTCTCTGCCTAATGAGCCATTTATATATATTACAAGTGGTATGTTTGGCCTTCATCTGTCCAATTAGTGCATTCCTGAAGGGCTGGAGCTGGGGGGTGGCGGCTTCATTTCCGTATTGCCGGCTGCCTGCTCCTCTCCAGCAGCAGACACTGAACTGCCGGACCAAATTCCCCTTGGTGTTCGTGGGGTTTCATTAACCCACCCACTTCAGGAAGCATCTCTGGATCATCACTCGTACCCTCAGCAGCACCCCAGCTCCTGCCCCAAAGGGGGAAATCAATATGGGATAGAGGGGGACACATGGCTCAGCCACAACCCAAGCCACAATGCAGGGGGACAGAGCCACAGCCAGAGAGGGACCCCCATCTGCCTCCCTCCAGAGGGTCAGAAATCTTAGCAAGGGAATAAGAAGGCAAGCAGAAACAGGGCAGATGGCAAGAGGCAGTGGCAAGGGTAAATTTAAGGCACGAGAGTGTCACTATATTTTATTTTTCAAAGGAGGATTCTTTCAGTGTATTTTTACAGGGAATTTCACTGCGGCAATTGATATTTCCCTCAGGGACATATCTTCTCTAGTGAAAACGTCGACATCATGACCCGAGAGGGAGAAACTCCAAACAAACAACCAGGATTTAATTACCAGCCTGCTCGCTGGATGTAAATGATCTATGAAAAAGTATACAGTCCTCAGCAGAAGCAGCAAATATTAACCAGGGATGATGACCTCTCTGTTTAGTTTACTGCTGGAGAGCTGTCTCCGCTCCCTGTGGCTCGGGGCATGGGACCCGTCATAGATAAGGGGCCTTGGATACCTTCAGCAAGGAGACCACAGCTCCAGGGCCTCATCATGCCACTCCGGGGCTGTACCCAGGGATGCTGGGAGCAATGTTGATCTGGCCCCATGGCAGGAGCATCCTTAGGCCAAGATATGGGGCACCAAGGCAGGTTTTGCTGTGCCTCAGTGATGCTGCGCTGCACGTCCTGCACTAGCTGGGGCTAGAGGAGAGGGATGGGAGCCCACATGATGATTCATGTGTCCCTGCAGAGGTGACAGCCACCAGCCCGGCATGGAGGAACTGGCTGGAAATTGCTTCTTCCCACAGCTTGCCTTAAGAAAAAGCACTTTCTGCACAAAAGGCTGTGTGCCGCGTGCTTGCACAGCCAAGACTGCGTGATGGGGCCAAATGCCGTTTTCCTTTGATTTTAGTGATGGCGCTCCTGTTTGTCAGTCTGAAACACTATTTCATTTCAAAACAAGCTTTCTTTCAGATTTAAAAGAGATTCTAAAGCACCACAATATATTTCAAAGGGATTGAAACCAGATGGATCCCAAATTACTTGTTTTCCTTTTTTTTCCCCAGAATACTGTTTCACACAAAAAAATGAAAATTCAATTGGTTTTTTGTCCCAGTGCAGGCGAATGTTTTTTCTCCAAATTCTCGAAATTTATCATCGGAAAGTCTCTCTCTTTTCTGGCCAGCTCCAGCTTGTATGAGGGGATGGAAAATATCTGGAGGCAATGTCAAGGCATGCTGAGTTGCCATTTCCATGTTGGCTTTCCCTGGTGTGAGCGAGTTTCCTCCTGCTTGTTCAGCCCTGGGAAATTTCCCTTTCAGCCCCAGCCCCTCCCCAGCCAGCGCATCCCTAGGGTCTCCAGGAGACAGGGATGCAGCCAGAGGAGGGTCTTGCCTCTCCGAGGCCATGCAAGCTGGGGATGGTATTTCAGCACTTCTGGGATCGATGGGTCCCAGAGCAGGCGACTGTTTTCCCCAGGCATGTGCTAGGGGGCTGCACACTTCATCATGGCCTCAATAACATTGGCTTGGCACCAGAGGCAGCAGGCTGCCATGGTGGTGTTCATAGCATTCCTCAGACGAGGGGTTATTCATATTCATATCTCCTGGGGGAAAGCAGGCAGGATGCTGGGAACCAGCTGGGGGAGGTTATGGTTGAGACGGGCTGGAGATGAGATGTACTGAATGAGTTTGGGTCAATGCTGAAATGGTCCTGAAGAAAATGACAAAGAAAAAGGAGGAGAGGGGGTTTCCAGGGAAAACCAGAGGGTTTTCTGCAGGGATTACAGTGCTTTAAGGCACAGGTGAGGCTGTACTTTAAAGAAATGCACATAGACACTAGTGAGCATGATGACATGACAACATGACACACTGGCTCATTGGTGCCCTCCTGTAGCCCCCGAAGTGTGTGGCCCAGAGTCCAAAGGAGGCCTGCATCTAGGCAGGGACCCTCAGTGTAAGGGTCAGGACCCAGCTGGTCCAAGCCAGCCCAGGAGACAGAAACATCCTCCAAATTACAGCTCCTGCTTTAAGCTGACACAAAACCAATGGGCAGGGGCTTCTCTGGGGTCCCAGCACCCTCCCAGCAGCACAGCCTTCATGAAGATGCTGCTGCCCAGATCAGTGTTTGGGCCAAGGGAGGAGGTGACGGGGCACGTCTCAGGTGCCAATAGCTCTGAGTGGGAATGACACTCAGGGCTGATTTTCACATCCCTTCTTCCCACCATCTGCCTATGTCCTCACCCCACTTCCCAAACAGGCTTCCTCCCTGCATCCAGCTCTTCCTTACATCCCAGATGCTGCCTGCTCTCAGCATCTGCTTCAGAAGCTCTGGGCAGAGCAGGCAGTCCTGAGCCCCTGCTTGGCTGCAAAAGGTGAGTTGAATGCAGCGGGAATGGCTGGAAACTGCTGTTCCAAAGGGCCAATGCAGCACAAGGCTGAGCAGGACAGGGCACACAGGGGCCCAGAGCTGCATCCTTAGGCTTTGGCCATCAAAGGCTGCTGGATGGGCAGCCTGCCCCACCGAGATACTGCTGAGTCCTGGCAGGGAACAGGCTGGGGAAGCACAGAGATGTGAGGTATCACGTGTTGAGCATGACTCCAAGCCTGACCTCCCTCAGGAAAGCTCTCTGGACTTGCAGACACCCAAGTCCTGCAAAGCACTCACCCGTTCTTTATGCTAACAGATTGAAGCTGAGGACCAGGAGCTGGCAACCTTCTGCGGCAGGGAGACCACAGACACAGAGCAGGCTCCTGGCCAGCAAGTGATCCTGTCCCCAGGGCCCTACATGGGGCTCACTTTCAGGTCGGACTTCTCCAATGAGGAACGCTTCACCGGCTTTGATGCCCATTACACTGCCGTGGGTAAGCAGCAGTTCAGCTTGCAGGATCTGCTTGTTAGGGTGACAAAATAAATTTGCTAGGATCTTATCCCAGGCCTGCCCTGGGGACCCTAGCAAGAGAAGTCCTTATATGCAGCCCTTGGGCCATATGGAACTCACTGAGTGCTCGTGTGACCCACCACATGGGACAACTAACTTTCTGGTATTGTGGCAAATGTCCCCACAAGGAATGACATGTGGAGGGCTGCAGGGTGACCTCCCTTCTCTGTTATCTCCATCCTAGATGTGGATGAGTGCCTGGAGAAAAGTGATGAGGAGCTGGCTTGTGACCACTACTGCCACAACTACATCGGCGGGTACTACTGCTCCTGCAGGTTTGGCTACATCCTCCACTCCGACAACAGGACCTGCAAAGGTACCACCTAGGCACAGCTCAGACATGGGGATGATCATACAGAGGGGTCCCTGAGCGGGCAACAAACCTGCCAAACACAGGCAAAACTGACCCCTTTTTCTGCCAGAGCAGATGAGTTGCCTCTTCCCCTACACACCAATAGCCTGGGACTGGGGAGTGCCTAAGGTGTGCAGTCCTCTTGCATGGGAAGCAGATGTGGTTTCTCCCATGGACTCTGCTTCTCAAGTCAGAGACATTAGAAGGTTTAGTCTCTGCTCTGAATCTGCATCATGTAGATTATCTGGGATTACCTCTCAGCTCAAGACTTCTATGCCACACGCATATCTGGAGATTGGCTGTGAGGTCCCCCTTGCATAGTCCCGTATTTGAGTCCAGCAGGCCCCACTCCACTGCAAGGGCTGCAGAGTATGATCAGGGCTGGGATGTGGCTGGCAGGGTCCTGAGAGAGCCCTGGATGTGTTTCAGTGGAGTGCAGTGACAACCTGTACACCCAGAGGAGCGGGGTGGTCACCAGCGCTGACTTTCCCAGCCCCTACCCCAAGAGCTCAGACTGCCTGTACCGTATCGAGCTGGAGGAGGGTTTCTTCATTACCATGAACTTCGAAGACAGCTTTGATGTGGAAGACCACCCTGAGGTGACCTGTCCTTATGACTACATCAAGGTGAGCTGGGCTCTGCACACTCCTCCCACCCCACACTCCTGTCACTTCCCCAGTGACCCAGTGATGGGACCGAAATCACCCTTATCTAAACAAGGGTGATGAAGCCAACAGGAACTCTGTGCTCAATTGATCCCTTGTCTCCTATCACATCTGATTTTGACCCTCTCAGCCAATAGTGACCCTCTTTCAATTCACATCCCCCCAACACATGGTGCTGAAGCCCCACTGAACCACCACAGCCCCATCCCTTAGCCAGCCTCAGGGTGAAGCAGCCCTCAGGGATCAAAGATCCCACTCAAACCACCCATTTTTCTTTGTGTTGGCAGATCAAAGCTGGAAATAGGGAGTTTGGCCCTTTCTGTGGAGAGAAGTCTCCAGGACGCATTGAAACCCAAACCAACAGTGTTCAAATCCTTTTCCACAGTGACAACTCGGGAGAGAATAGGGGCTGGAAGCTGTCATACACAGCAATTGGTAACTCCTGATTGCTTTCCTCTGTTTGCTGGGCTTGGGCAATGTTAAGGGCTTTATAAAGCCTGCAGGTGGAGAACATGAGTTTGGTGGTTCTTGATCCCATCTCCAGAAAGAGTCTGTTCCAGAAATCACATGAGGAGAGGAATAAAATATCATGGAGCCTCCTTTCTACTTTTTTCCCTGCTCAAGATGAGCCCTGAAACAAGACCACATTGCAAAGCAGAGCAGTTTTGGGCAGGCTAATTGCACAAGCTACGGTTATTAGCTCCCAGCTAATATTTGGGCTAATAATTTGGGTTTTGCAATGCCCAAAGGCATGGTATTACATACTGGAGGAATGATTTGGAGCCTCCGCTCCTTCCAGGAGAAGAGTCTGGCTGAGCCAAGCCAGTGTAGGCTAATAGCAAGAGCAGGGCAGGGATGCTCAGACCATGCTAAGTGAACTGGTGGCAGAGCTGGGACTCCACCTTCTTGCCATTGATTCAGCTGAATTTTGTTTTTCTTCATTTGCTTTTTGTTCAAAGGGAACCCATGCCCACTGGTGCAACCACCGATCAATGGGAAAATTGAGCCTTCCCAAGCCAAGTACACCTTCAAAGACCAGGTTGTCATCAGCTGCAATACCGGATACAAAGTACTGAAGGTATGGAGTGACAGTGTTGAGCTGGGCACGTGGGTAGGAAAGGGTGGAATCCTTCCTTCCAGAGCCATTGCATCCCTGGGAGAATGAACATAATCCACATACAATCCTTACCCCATTCCCAGGGGCAAGGAAAAAGCCTCCTCTGAGAGCCACCAACTTTCCTTTCCAAAGGAAAAGAGGAGATGGCACCTTCCCAAGCCACTTTCCAGAATCTCTCCAGAGCCGGCAAGCTCACAGGATGCCAGGCTTGGCAAGTCTTCCAGAGAAGAAGTCAGTAAAAGCCCCAGGGGAGCTGCCAGGACTGTGCCCGCTCCTCACCTCGGCAGGTTCTGGCTCAGCTTCCTGGGCAGCCCTGCAAAGGCCAGCCTCCACAGACCAGGAGGTTCTCTGGGACTTTGGGACAGCTTCAGCTAGTCAAGGGGGCTGGGATTTTGGCAGGCCCTCCCTGGGAAACAGCTGAGAGCCACGGGGAGTGTGAGTGACTCACGGGGTGGCTGTCTTCCCTCCAAACCAGTAGCCTGCTTTGATTTCCAACATGGAGCTGGATATTTCTCTGATCTTCTCCCAGCCTCATCCTTCATGCAGAGCTGCCTCCTTACCCATCCCAGCACCTAGGACAGGAATAAATGACTCCAGGGTTATTTTTGCATTGAGATGCTGGCAGCAAGAAAACTTTTCAAGATTCTCATTATGATTTTATTGCAATATTGAGCTAGAAAAGTCCTCCTCCAGACTGGTCTGGATATAGCTTCATTAAAACACCAAGAAATTGGCTTTTTACAGAGAGGTTAATTTTCTTGCCTTGTACGTTGATGGCAATTTTTTTGCTGACATCTTCTGCACAGGATAACCTGGAAAGTGACTCCTTCCAGATTGAGTGTCTAAAGGACGGGACATGGAGTAACAAGATCCCTATCTGCAAAAGTAAGAACACCCTTCCCCACCCTGCCAATGTCCTTCTTCTGCTGAAATAATTTCATGCTAAAGGGAGCTGCCTTGCCAGAGAGGAGTTCCTTACTCAGAGACACAAACCCAGCCAGAGAGGCTACGTAACTCTGAAAAGCTCTTTTGGCTCATTCTTGGATAACAGCGGGGCTCGCTCCAAATGCCACAAGCGGGAGGTTGGTGCTTTTATTTAGATTACTCATATAACTTGATTTGTGAGTCGCTTGGCTGTCTCCCTGTCAAAGAAAGAGCAAGCCCGGCTCTTGAGAGCTGGGTCTGTTGAATAAATCTGACATAACTTGGCATAATCTAATTCCTGGTACAAATTTCCTTCCCAATGGAGGCTACTAAGACTTAGGGCATTAGAAAGGTCCCGGGCATTAGCCTAAACTGGGTGCTGCTCAGCTATGTGAAAGGGAAGAGAAAAGTTGCCCAAATATTTGCAAACCTTAAAAATAGGAGAAAAGGAAAGAAGAAAGGAGATGCCATTTGAAAGGACAGGTGATGATTTGCATCATCTCTTCTTTCATCTAACCCATCTCCTCTCTCTGCTCAGGCTTGGAAGATGTACCCGATAAACGTTTTTCCTTTCCCCCAAACAGCCCCAGCCCTCAGGAAGGCACTCACTACTGCTCAGCATGCTGTAGGGCTGTCCCAGAGAGGAGAAAAGCAGCAAACACACTCAGAGAAGGTCCCAAGACCTTCCAGGGGAGGCAGGATGAGATGCTCTAAAGGGATGTTGGGATCCAGGCTCTCCTCATCTGAGCAGATCCTTTTTCTTCAATGATATTGTGGATCTTACCTTAGAAGAGCATTTCTGGAGTTTTAATTAATGTTTTCTCATCCAAAATGAAAATTGCGAGGTTCTCAGACCTACTAAATCAATTTGTATCTGAAAAGTCTCCCTAGAAATTGCAGGATCAGAGATCCTGCAGATCTCTGCAGGGGCAGAGATGCCCCTGCCCTACCAAGGAAATCCCCACTCCTACAACTCTCACTACCACAGTCTCTCATTGTTTTTACCCAGCTTGAACAGTTACCAGATGAAAATTGGCGTTGACCAGAAAAAAAGAACAAATATGTTTAATCCCAGGAAGTTTTTGGGGTTGGTTTTGGGGTTTTTTTGAGAAAATTGAAATGATTACCTGCATTTCTCCAGACGGGCTTGTGTGGTATGACTTACTACACTAAATTTCTAGGACCGTTTGGGGAAACCCAAGAAGCCGCTAAATGGGCAATTCAGGCCTCCAAAGTGCAATGCCTCCCACCTCCCCAGGATGTGTGGGAAAGGCAGGGCACAAGCAAAAACAGTTTTAGAAAGCAATGCAGAAAATAGAAAACTTCTCAGCCAAGGTGAATAAAATCCATCTCCGTGGCCTGGCGAGTCTAAACACAAACCCGTGACAGCCTCTCCCAGCCCCTGTCCCCAAGCTGCCCTGGACAAGCAGAGCAAGTAGGTCCCCGGCACAGCCCTGGCTCCACCAGCACCCACAGCATGCTGGCACAGCTTGCTGGGCACTCTTTAACAATTTCTGGTGTTTTGGGGGCTGGGTTTCCTGCATGCCTCTCTCCGCTCATCTACTAATTGGGCTTTCTCTCTGCTCTCCTCCTTCCCCTCTGCTTTCGGTGCAGCTGCAGATAGAGCCGACAACCAGACAGAGGGAAGAGCCGGCTCGGAGCAAGTGGCTGCGTGAGGCTGGTGCCGGCTGTGCCACCCCAGTGGGCAGCCTGTCTCAATGTCTCCCTGACCTATCCGGTACCCAGGTCATGGGCATGCCCCCTTTGCCCCTGGTCTGGCTGCCAAACCCATCTCTGTGGCTTGTCCTTGTCTAACTGGCATGGCACTCTTAACCCCCCCGTGTCTGGTGCTTTCTTAACTCCGTCTCGAGAAGGGGGAAGGAAATTTGGAGCTGATCCCTCCTTCTCTGATGTCACACCACCCCACAGGAAGGCTGTCTGCCCAGCCCCAGCACCACTGCCTGGGGACTGTGTGCTGCCGCCACCTCCCAGCACGTCCTCTGCATCCCTCCCTCTCCACTCAGATGCATCAGCCAGCTTGGCTCCCCCCTCAAGGCAGCGGCTGCAAAAGGAGTGCGGCATGGCTGCCTGGTTGGTTGGTTGCTTGTTTGGATTCAGCCTCCTGCTGCCCTTCCTCCCTGGCTGCCCTTCCTCCCTGGCCCAGCATCACAAATAAGAAACACTCCTTCTTCTTTTCTCTCCAAGAGTCCTGGTGCCTTTCAAGCCCTCCGGGCAAGGAGGTCTGGAGGATGAGTTGGCATCACCAGCCCTTTCCTGTAGGCATCGAGCCCTGGCTACAGCACAGGGGGATGGATGCTCCTCTGCTTCCCCTTTGCTCCCCAGTGCTGGCCCAGCGGAGGTGAAGACAGTCTGGCCTCAAGCTGATTATAGCTGAGAGAGGTCAGAGCTTTGTGTCTGGTCCCGTTCATGTCCCCAGGAGCCAGGGGCATGCACCCTTGACTCCCCGAGGCATCAGAGGCTTCACTGGAATGTGATCTCTGTTCCTACAGTTACACAGATTGTAGGAACTAAATGGCTGCTTTCCTGAGGGAAAAGTCTGGAAAAGTGCATGGCACAAACCCCCTCTGCTCACCCTTTCAGAAGGACACAGGACAGCGCTGGAGTCACA